AAATGTAACAACACAGTAAATTACTTAAGTACTCGTATCTCTGTGATCACAATACACTATTACAGTAATATAAAACTAAAGACATAAAGACAACTTCATTAGAGTCAGTACTTTATCCTGATGTAATCTCCTAATTTTTTTTTTAAAACAAGCTATCACTTTTAGTAATATCATCAGGTGAAATACCAGTAAATTATAAAGTTTTATACCTTCATATAATATATTTTTCTTACCATAGTTGGTTCTAGGCTTTGTTACTTCTAGTTTTTTTCGTTTCCTTGCGTTGTATGTATAGGTTTTTTCTTTGAAGCTTAATTGTGAATGTGTACCTTGTGTTATGATTTTATATATTAGTAAACAAGTTTTAAGAATGTATAGTTGTCTAATTGTTAGGATTTTGGTATCCTTGTAGATGTTAAGTGTTGGTGTTAGGTAGTCGTAGTTATAAAGTGTTTTTATGCTTTATTTTGCAAGACTTGAATTTCTTGGATATTCGATTTCGAAGCAGTGCCCCATATCTCAACCAGGTATTCTATATGAGGTCTAACTAGAGCGTTATAGATCATTACTCGAGCCCTACTAGGGACGCAAAAGGACATTCGACGTAGTGCACCAGTAACAGGAGATATTTTGGATTTAATATATGCGATATGGTGTTTCCATGTTAATTTTGTGTCCAAAAAGAGGCCTAAATATGTTTCACTACTTGATTTTGCAATATTTTCGTTATTTATTGTTAGTTGGATTTGATTGTCAATCTTCTTATTTTTTGCAGCAATGATCATGTATGATGTTTTTTTCGTATTAATAGTTAATAAGTTAGATAGAAACCAGTTGTTTAGAATATTTAAATCATTTTGTGCCTCTTTCACGATATCTATCAGGTTGGGTCCAAAATAAAAGAGACAGGTGTCATGTGCGTAAAGTGTAATGCTGCCTGACGTTTTAACATTGATTATATTATTAATATAAATTAAAAACAACAGGGGGCGAGAATCGATCCTTGAGGAATTCCGTATGTTAGTTTAGCAGGCAAACTTACATGGTTTTCAATTTTGACTACTTGTTTCCGGCTTTCTAAGTACGACCTAAGAATTTTATGTGCTGTTCCTGATATTCCTGCATCTCTTAACTTGTTTAAAAGCATATTGTGGCTAATTGTGTCAAATGCTTTTTTTAGGTCTATAAAGACACCTAGGACATATTGTTTTTTATCTATGGCATTTTTAATTTTTGTTGTTAGATCTGTAGTTGCGGATAAAGTACTTGATTTTGGCCTAAATCAATCAATGGTTCACAAAGAAAAAAATGTGTCTGTAAGGTAGTTGTAAAGACGGATGTAAATTATTCTTTCAAAGACTTTGGAGATGACCAGGAGCACGGAAATTGGTCGATAATTACCTGGATCAGATTTGCTTCCAGACTTGTAAACAGGAGTCACTTTGGCAATCTTAAGACTATCAGGGAATATTCCCAATTCAAGGCACTTATTTATACATTCAGTTAAGTTATCTATTATTAAGTTTTTAATGCATTTTAAATGTTTAACCGTAATCCCATCAATACCACTACTTGTATTGATATCTAAGTTATAGATTATTTTACTGATTTCTTTTTTTGTATAAGCATGTAGTGTATTTATTATAGCTGTATTTTTTGCGACTGTCATATTTAAATTTAACTTGTAGTAGTTGTAGTTGGAGTGTATAGGTTTGTTTGTGTTTGTAGTATATTATTGGCTAACTTAGAACCAACTGTGGAAAAGTAATCATTAAAATATTGACAGATTTGCTTGCCATTTGTTATTACATTATTTTCTGTTGTTAATTTAACTGGAACATTTTTTTTTATGTGTTTGTTATTTGTTAGCGTATTAATTAAATTTCACATTTTTTTCGTGTGTTTCTCGCACTTTTTGAAACTATCCAAGTAGTACTTTCTTTTCGCGTTTCTTATTGTTTTATTAGTCACGTCACGTAAATGTATGAATTTTTGTTTAGTTTCAGGGCTGCCATTATCATGTTTATAGGCACTCCATGCTTTATTACGCTTATGTAAGATATCTAGCACATCTTTATTAATCCAGTCATCACGAGGCTTGTTGAGAAGTTTTACTTTTTTTATTTTATAACTGGTAATTGTAGTTGTAATAAGAGTTTCCAGGTTTTGATAGTCGTTCTCCTCATTGTTAAATTATGTACCTTCAATTGATTTGAATAGATTCGTGTAGTCTGTAGCTAGGTATTCATATTTTAACTTTTTTGTAAGTAAAGGTTTGTTTAGTTCCAAGTAGATTTGGTTATGATCCGATAGTATATGATGGAGTACCGATGTCTGGGTTGTTTTTAAATAGTGACATCAGCAAAGCCGACGTCATTCTTTAGATTGTCATGGTTTTCACTTATAAAAGCAAATAGTATTAGTAGTAAATAACAACAACAATAGTAAATACCACTAAAGATGTCTACCAAGTTGTTACACACAGTCGTACATACATCCGTACAGTAGTAAATAAAGACAACAGTAAATACAGTTAGATGTATTCCAAGGTCTCACAAGCAGTTGTGCGTAGATCCGAACACCCCGACGTCTTAAGCGTGAATGACCGAGTATGCGCAATGCAGCTCGTTTTTATAGGCGAAGTAGTGGGGTGATTGTTATGAGTCACTTGTTTACGGCGCTCGGAACACGTGTAAGTGACGTTGTTGGTGTTGCTAGTGTTGAATACTGTTTTGCGCCGATACGACCATCCTGACCGACAGTGCGCGCTCTGCACTGGCCGTGCTGATGATATTTTACTGAGGTATACCTGATACAATTGATAGTTGTTTTATTTTTGAAATTGGTATCTGTGTACCTGGTTGTAACAATGTGTTCTATGTCGATTATTTTTTTTTAGTGTGCAGCGTACACTGTGGTATTATGTTGCTGCGTACTCTGCGGTACTATGTTGCTGCGTACTCTGCGGTAATATGTTGCTGCGTACTCTGTGGTACTATGTTGCTGCGTACTCTGTGGTACTATGTTGCTGCGTACTCTGTGGTACTATGTTGTTGCGTACTCTGTGGTACTATGTTGTTGCGTACTCTGTGATACTATGTTGTATTTGTGTTATGATTGCATGTATTAAAAATTCAGGTTAAAAAGAAACATATCCTTAGCTTTTAATGAGTTGGTCCCTGGGTTTTAAACTTTCGCGTTCCATGATAATTAATATTATTTAACGGGAATTAACGCGATCTCTTATTTAGGGTATTACATACCTCTGCCGTGGTCACAGGCTGACTCAGCCTGTGACCACGGCCGGTGCAACCTGGTCGAAACGTCAGGCAAACCAGAGGTATGTAATACCCTAAATAAGAGATCGCGTTAATTCCCGTTAAATAATATTAATTGGTCCCTGGGCTTGTTGTCCGACCACATTCGCTCGTGAAGTAGATGGTACAGGCTCATTGATCGGTACTGAAGTGTTGTCTTCTTCTGCCGATACGGTTATCTGATCTCCGGGTTAAGGTGCTCGGAGTTGATCATGAGCAACTTTTCTTGGACGTCCTGCCCATTTGCTCGGCTGACTCCTGGTGCTATAGCATGAATTTCTATTCCTGTACGATCACAGTAGATTTTAAATTCGCCCAAAAACTCTCTTCCATGGAGCGGTCTATGTCCAGCAGCGGACCATGAAAGGATGTTGATGTGATGATAATAAGAGTTTGTCGAGTTTAGACCGCGTCTCGGCGAACATAGTGTAGGACGCCCACAGACCAGGTGGAGCCTTGCTTTAATCAAGATGTCTGGGAGGAGCTGGATACGGGCACCAAAGGATCGATCGAAGTGGCTTACAATAGGAGATGCAGAGACGTATCCCACTTCTGATGACGGAGTACCGATGTCTGGGTTGTTTTTAAATAGAGTGACATCAGCAAAGCCGACGTCATTCTTTAGATTGTCATGGTTTTCACTTTTAAAAGCGTCAGCAGTGCTGACGTCACCACAATTACTATTTACACTCATTGCAAATGATAAAAACACCTTTAGTACAAAACACAATATAATTTATTGCTGACACAGGTTAACAATCTAAGTAACAGTAATAGTACTCACAAGAGCTCTTGCTTCCTCCAAGTTCAATACGAGAATGCCCTTATATGCGGGTTGTTGCGTTTTAAATAGAATCTGAATACACTTTCTTTGTATACCGTCATAATCACAAAATGTTTGAACTAAAGTAAATATTAAACAAAATAACCAAACAAACCTTTGGTTGTTTGTCATAAATCGAGATATGAAATAAGAGTACGCTTATCTATTAAATCTATAAACAGTTACAAGTAATGGAAACAGTAACAAAGAACTACCCTCGACTCATAACAAATCAATCAACTGCTAGTTTGACCTAAAAGTATGCAAACACTATCTGTAATCTTAACATCTTAATTTACTAGTTAAATTAATTGATTAAAATTCATTGATAATCAAATCGAGATTATTGCGCGTCGACATATATTATATTATGTATATATTATATTTGATAATTATTTTAGGGATACCCTCGATATCTTTTATAGTTAGGTCGGATTCTCCATACTGTTGTCTTTGTTGTAATTCCGTACGAAGATCCTTAATATATTTTTGTTGGAGTGGAGTTTGGTCCGAAAAAACGCGGACTTGATCTATGGCATGTTTACCATAATTACGTAGAATATGTTTCGCTGTATTGATCGACTCAAAACACACTTTCAAAGATCGGCTTTTATCGGGGGTATACTTGCCTAGTCTCATTATAGTGCAAGGGTTCGGACATTCTGCGTAAAAGGTTTTAATAATTTGCATAACCTTGTTTTTGTCATGTTCAAGTCTGTTGTTTTTGTTTAGATTGTTTATTTCAGGTATACCCACAAATATGACATTTCTTTCTCGACGATTACGGTCTTGCAGCTCCAGTATGGTACCTTCATAAGATATAGGCGAGTTTTGGTTTATTGCGAGCGAGTCAGTGGGTTTCAGTCTAGAGGTCTCGGTTTCAAGTTGTGTGATTCTTGTTGATATGTATTATTCATTATCTGCATATCTGTTAGTTCTTGTTTTAATGCGTTTTGTTGTATTATTATTGATTCCGAATTTTGTTCATATTTTATTTCAGTTATTTCTTTTTGTAATTTTGAATAGGTTTCTTGTTGGGTTTTGGCAAATTCTTTGAAAAACGTCATTATTTCTGAGCGAAAGTCTTCAAATTGAGTAAGATATTCATTCTCGGGCTGTTTTCTCTTGCGGTGGGTAATATTGATACTAGGCATTGCATCTAATTTACGCAGATCAGGGGATGACCCGTACCTGCTAACGCTCGTGGACTTGGATCCCTCCGGAGAACGCAGTAGACTCATATTTAGTGGATGTCGTCGCTCGCTGCGTAAATAAGTGGTGGTGAATTTAATGAAAATAGTTAAACAACTTGGTAAGATTGTGAAATTAAGGAAGAAAATGCATTAAATTGCACGCATGTAATGAATTTATTTATTTATTTAAGACAACTTATAAAACATACACTAATACATAGTTTATAAACATGTTTTACAAATATGTGCTGAGTGTTGTCTTACTTACAAGTTGCCACGGCATGGTAAGGGACAGTTACATCTAAGATTATACAAAGCAATATCTATAATAATATACAAAACATACAGAACATTATCAAAATTAATTAGAGACAGTGATGCATTTAAAGTGGTTTAAGAAGGTCTAAATGACGCAATAACTTTGCTTTTAAATTTTGGAAGACTATTTGAGAAGATGTCTACATCAATTTTACGATTTTTCGTCAGCTTGTTATACTGGCTTAGTAATCTATTCATAGTAGCGTTCTGACCCAAGCAGTTTAATGGTGACAGTAATCGTCTTAAATCTATGGTAGTCCAGTTGAACACACTAAGACTGCGCGACACTTTCTTAGCTGCTTGTATTAACACCAATAAAACAAAAACTTCAACGACAAATTAAACACCAACCACCTTAGTCTTGGGGGCGAGAAATCACCTATTTTCATCACTGAACACTTGAGTGCTACCAACAAAGCTTTACATGTAGCAACGCGCCTTAAAGCAAAAGAGAAGGGCTACAAGCACGTCTGGGTCAGAGGAGGCCGAATTTTTATGAGAAAGACAGATGATTGGTCATATCTTATTATTAGAGACATGGACTCAGTTAGCAAAATAAACTAAAATAATAAAGTTCATTTATCACTATGGTGTATTTTTTGCATGTTTATAAGTAATGTTTATAATTCGCTACTTTTAATATTTTCTACCAAAATATCCGTGGTTTGCTATCTAAAACTCAAGAATTCTTCTGTAATTTGGCCTGTACAAACTACGATGCAATAGTGTTAACAGAAACATAGCTGAATAGTTGCGTCTTTAGCACAGAACTCTTCGATAGTAGATATAATGTTTTCCGTAGAGACCGAGAAACTACAGGATTCCATAATCAAAAAGATGGTTGAGATGTTTTGATTGCGATTGCTAAGAAGTTTATTGCTAATATCAAATCAGACAGGGAGAGTAGTTGCGAGGTCTTATGCGTAACAGTCAAAGTCATAGACAACTTTAAATTAGCTTTAGATGCAGTGTATTTTCCACCACTTGTTCAAAACTCAATTATTGACCACTTCATGAACAATTATAATTCATTCGTAGATGAACCAACGATTGTCATAAGATTCCACCAGGATACCAGGATCTTGGATATGGTTCTTACTGATTTACCAGGTTCTAAAATACCTGAAGCACTTAGTGGTCTTTGTAAAATAGATACCTATCACCCTCTTGCAATTATACTTGACCATGTACAAGAAAGTAACATAAAGCCGAATAACTCTACCCGTCTTATTATAAAAACTTCCATAAGTACCAGGTTTAAACCAGGGCTAAAAGGTCTAAGCTTATTACGGTACTAACGTTAGTTCTTTCATTCGTATTACAAATCGTAGACCAAGAAAGCACTACTTAGTACCAAAGATCGTCTCTGGTCTAAACATTTTCCACAGATTATAAGCAACAAAATATTTAAATTATTCATTCATTCGTTCAGCGTTCTACGCGCCTTTCCTTTTTAACAAAATGTTGTTACGAAATTTAAAGAAAAATATTTTATGAATTGTTATTTGTAGGGGTAAAATTTAAAGTTTTGTTATTTAAAGGTATTTAAATATTCCGACTTGTATTTTTTTGAATGCATGTTCACAATCCAATTATTAATGTTATGTTTTGAAACAACTACCGAGCTAGCACGTATGAGTATAACGGAGTGAACTGGGCGGCGCGCGTAATTCGAGTAATGTAATCGAAATGTTTACGTGTTTAGTGATGCAGTGGTAAGTAAAAGTTAACAATAGTGGAGAGTATAATATGATGACAATTTACTAAACATTTACCTGTTACAGATGACAAATACAACAACAACAATATTTGAAGACCCTGATGCTGGCCATAGCTCAATAGAACCAATTGTAGTGATTATAAGTGATGAAAATATAGAGTCCAGTATTGAAGAAAAACAAGGTATAATAATTTCATAATAAGAAAAAATACAGGTTAGTTTCATTAATATTATTTATTATTTTCAGTGATCTACACCAGTGAAACTGTGCAAACAAAAAGTAGTGTAGAAATAGAAGAAAATAAACCAAAAAACAAGAAAAAAGGGGAAACCGCCTCCCTAAATAGGTTTGTTAAAATAAATGTGGTAATACTGAATATATTTTATTTCAATCAAGGCACCACGAAAATATAAATAAAGCTTACCACACTAAAATAATAAGTCTAATTATTACATAATAATATAGAATTTATTTTACAGAAATGAAGAAGGGTGTCAAGCTATTATAAATAGTAATACAGAATTTTAAAAAAAGCAGCTTGATATGTTGGAAGCCCAGCACTTCTATCAAGTTGAAATATCAAAATTAAAAATTAAAAAGCTACAATTACAAATAGCACTATTGGAGACTCAGATAAAAAATAACACCATTACTAAAGAATAAAATGTAAGTTACACTTTTTGACTGATATCAATACAATTTATAATTAAAATAAGTATAAATTGTTGAGTCAAGAGTTTCAAATAAATAACTAATGTAATCTATCTCCTATTGAATAAAATACTTCAAATATATTGACAATCACATAATAATATAACATAATTATTTTCAGGTTATATATTCCCCATAATAATCATTAGTATTATAGGACTGATTTTAGAATTTTCTTAAAGATAAAAGTTACTTTTAATTTATGTTTGATTTATTAATAATTATCTTTATGAAAAAAGGATCATTAGCTTTTATTTTAGCATTCATATAATACATGTATTAAACATATACATATATGAATATCACAAAAGAGAAATATAGTTATATATAATAAATGTTATTTTATGAAAAGTGAGTTTCAATAAACTGCCTTCTAATATTCCCTCGTAATGAATTTTGAACTGGCTGCACTGACATCATCTATTACTTATAACTGGCTGAGATACGCCATGTAAGTCACTAGTATCGTCTTGAATCTGTAAAAAAAAACAATTATAAAGTAATACATCATTGATGACGCACATTAGCCATAATTACATTACAAGGTACCAACTTACTTCATGGCGAGCCCAGTTGCGTAGTGCGCAAGCTACTTGCATTTCGGGGCTTAACGGACATCATCGAGGATCGTGGGATAAATCCTCACGTAATAAATCGACAATCCTTTCGCGAAAACGTTTACTAAATCTATATTTATACCGAAAATCTTCATCAGGTAATTCAAATGGATTTCGACGCTGACGAACTCTGTTCGGTCAGCGGGAACTTTCTAGTATATCCAACATATTCAAATCTTCCAAATCAAACATATCAATTGCATCAATATCCATTTTTTGGTTTCTGATCACAAATTCCTTTCCGAAAGTGAACCTCAAAATTAAGAATTTGACGTTTGACAATTTAGTACCATAGTTAAACTAGGGGTCACGATGGTCTAACTTTGATACCATAGATAGTTCTAGGACTAGCGATAAACTTCTTTTTGTAATAACGTTTATTCAAGGTCATGGTTTAAACCTAGTACTAAAGCCGGTACTTTTTTAAGTCCACGTTTTATAATAAGACGGTACAAGACTAAACTTTAAAAAGGCGAATTATCCCACTACCAAAGACTTCTGCGCTAGCGCCAGGGGTGTGGTCTTGTTGGATGAATCACGGGGGCGTTATTTCGCACGCAGGGGGGTGTGGTCAACGTTGTGGTAGTATTCCAATCGAGTGGTAGAAGGGTGTTGATGATGATGATGGTATCTGACAAATGTGACGGTAATATTATAAGATGTCTTACTAGTGGAGTGAGCGGCGGGGGTCACGTAGCTCGTAGCGATGTGAAGTACCAGGCGTTCATGCGGACAGGAGATAAGCGTGGCGCCGTATTGTACCGGTTATTAAACTCCTCAACATCTATGCACTCCTATTTTTTGTACGGATTTAATTTTGATAAGTATCGTTTTTAAATACAGCGATATGATACAGTTCAGAGCACGTCAACACCTGCCGGTGGTCCAAAGGGAAGGGATATATTACGCAATATGGCCAGCAAGATGTGTAAATCTACACTATTAAAAGCATTGCTAAAGTCCAGTAAGGAGAGAACTGTGATTTTTCTATTTTCCATTCCAAGCCTGATGTCGTCAGTAACATTGATCAACGCACTTGCCGTACTATGACCCGCACGAAAACCTGACTGGAGAGGATTTAGGAGTTGGTTTTTGATTAAAAAATGAATTTACCTGGGTGTGAACAAGACGTTCAAGGACTTTTGAAAGGAAGGGCAATATGGAAATATGACGATACCGAGGATGCGGGATTCTTCTTTTTAGGTAGTGGGATAAGTAGTGCTTCTTTCCATGCCTCCGGAAAAGTACTGATAAAAAGGGAGTAATTTAGGATATGGCATATTGTAGGTAATAGTTCAGCAAGAATTGGATGGATCATGTTACGGCTTATGCAATCGCTTCCAACAGCATTTGAATTTATGGATATAATACACTCTTTAACACCACAAGCAGTTAATTGATTAAAACAGAACGGTGGGTAATAAGGAGCTGGAAGTGTGGAAAGATATTGTAAGGTATTTGCCTTACTGGCCTGGTTAAATGTCGATTTGGTTGGAATCTGAATGTGAATATGACTTATCAACTCCCAATGTTTTGAGAAACTTCTAAATTTTGGCCGGGTCTCCGTTCTCGACCGAATTGTGAATGTATTGGCGTTGTGCTTTCCTACAAGCCTTACTGCAGAGATTTCGGATGGTAATATAACTCCCGTATCGTACATTCTTCCTTCACTGTCCAAGCG